TAGAAACTAAAGAAGAATTTCTAAATAATATTAGCAATTTAAGGCCAAAAAAAAGTGGAAACTTTAAAATTGATTTCGAAATTTTCTTTTTTATATATTGTTTATTTTTTTTTACTACATTTTGTAATATAGTAATTAAATAATGAGGAGTAAAAATTCAAATTTAAAGAAGAATCTTAAAGTCATTATTTGTGATTTATAACCAAAAACATTAGGAATATCCCCTATGTTTCAAAATTAAACTTTGAATAAAAATAACGTCTGGTGAATTCATTGAGTTTTGTAGTTTTTCTCGATCAAATTTTTGTACAGTTCTTTCTCCATTAAATTCCAAGCTGCCTCGTGCATTCCTCCATAAAACTGTCGCTTTTCTCCACCGATAGTAAAGTGCAAATGTACGCCGTCTGAATTATTTTCCAAGAAGTTTCCGCGTCGCGGCGACCGGCAAATCGTTAATGCTTTATCACCATGCATCGCGCGGCAATGCGAATCGGGGTAGTTTGACGTTCGCTTGTTCGACGCAACTCCGAATTTTGAGCGAAACTGTCGCGTCAGGAAAATTCGTCTTGTCGCGGTGCATTTCTTGGCGAATAAACTTTTCAAGAACGGCAAGATGCTCCGCGAATTATACGCGATAACAAAACTTACGAATTCATGGATAAGAACTCTTCGCTCTCCAGACGCGGTAAATGAACATGGATTGGATTTTGAAAATTTTAAAGAATATCTTGACGACGGAATTAAACTGTAATCACTAATAAGGTAATAAAAGAAACGTAATTAAATGGAATTATATAATTCTTCGAGTTAATTATTACGTTACTCGAGTGTCAATTTAAAGTGCCGTTGACACGTCGTTCCTGTAATTTTTCAGAATCTTCCTTTTGAAGATTTAAGAATAGCAGAATCGCGACGGAAAGACTGATTTTTATTTTCATATCGCGCGACAATCGATTTTCGATAATTTGCAATAATTTGGCAGAATCGACAACACGAGCAATCATTTCTTCTCTTCCTTTTTCTCGCACTCTCTCTCTCTCTCTCTCTCCCTCTCTTTCTCTCTCCCTCTTTCTCTCTTTATCGGTCTCTTTTATTCTAATTTGTTGGCAATTTCCGATCGTATATATTCACTCGTGTCCTCCAAATATATGATCTTCGATTACGATGTTAAAGTGAAATTACGCGCGATACAACGACAGAGATATGAATATTATACGACTAACAAAATGAGATAATTTGATCGCATTTTTCATAAGACACTAATTTATCAATGATTTATCGGCAATTTGACCGCCTCACAATTAGTTATAATTTATTATTATTAAAAAGATACACATGGTCCAATTAAAGAATTTTATAGACGTTTACAGAACAAGGAACAAGAATTTGACAAACATTTTTTACAAAATTTTTCCTTTAAATTAATTATTTAATATAAAAAAATGTTATTATAATAATATAAAAGAGCTTATATATAGCATTGTGATTAATATAAATAAAAATAAATTAAAGTTTTAAAAAAGAGTGAAAAGCTTGTGTTTCATACCCATTATTAAAAATAATTTCAATGTAAATCGAGCATTTCGAAATAATTTTAAAAGAGGAACATTCACAATCGCGTATAACTCCAGTTTCCAAATTTTCGTAACAGACTCGTATAAGTCCCAATTCGTTATCGTCAGATAAATAAATCGTCTCGATTACCGGAAGAGGCGCACAAAGTGCCTCATGGCTCTTACAAGTCGATCTCCTCTCTCTCTCTCTCTCTCTTCTCCTCCCCCCCCTTTCTCTTTGTTTTCCGCTCCCAAAGCTCCGGGCAATAATGAACGCGTCAATTTTCCATCTCGTCCCATCCGCCCTTACTGCTTTCGTGCCCGCCCCCTTCGCCATCCCTTCCGCGCGCCGAAGCTGTCCCTATTTTCTCGTGCAATTTTTTTCTTCCAGCTCACTCCTTTCACCCGTTATCGGTCGCTTGCTAATGGCACACGATTGCCTTTCGCGTTTATCCGGAACGGCGTTCCCGCGTCCGACGGACCGGTGCGGCGCGGCGGGCCTGCGGACTGCCGTCCCATATCCGCGACCTTTGCCCTCTGCGATCGTGTCGGCGACACGCGCGGAACCCATCCTGACGTTTCATTTCTCGCGACGCGGATCGACATTCAGTTCCCAACCCCCCCCTTCCGCGAGCCAG